TCTGGGGTACCAGGGGCGGCAGGTAAGGGGTGGGGAGTGGAGCGGAGGAAGGGAGCCGCGCCCGGCCGCCATGGGGGAGGGGTTGGCCGGCGCTGAGGGGAGCCAGGAGCGAGATCGAGCTTCTTCCGCCAGTGCGCGGAGCTGGGCCCTGCGCGGGGGGGGGGCGGGATGGCGCTGCTTCTTTCTCCGGGGAGGAGGCGGTGAACTGAGCCTCTTTCCCCAGGCGCGGCCGTGCCCACGGCGCTGGCGGCCATGAGGGGCTCCCCCCACACTGCTCCCGGCCTGCCCTCGCTCCGTCTGAGGCGCCGCAGCCCGGGGTCTGGTTCCTCCCCGCCAATCTCCGGCAGTGTGTTACTTGTATTTTTGCATTTCTGTCGCGCCGGGAAGCTCCGCGGCCTGCGAATGCCACTGCCCAGCCCTGAGCAGCTCTGAGGTCGGGGGACGGCGAGGCCTGCGGCCGCTTCCTGCTCCGTGGTCCGTTGCAGACTGGCCGGTCCCTGTGAACAGGGACAGGCTGCGCTAGCCTCTTGTGCTCGCTGGGTCGTAAACTGCATTTACTGCGAGGGCAGTTCGGAGCGTGTCCTGCAGTGGCTGAAGGAGACAAGTGCCGCTGGCGTTCCTCTGGAGGCACAGGAGTGGCTCAGTGGGTGCAGCTGCAGGGGGGGGGTTAGTCTGTCTTCCATTCTGTGTGACAGCAGGAGTGTGGAGGGAATGCTGCTCTCCTACTTCAGCGTCCCCCTACACTTCCGTTACAGGGTGTTTAGGCACTCAACTTCTTTTTCCTTTCTTCTGATTTTGGGACTACTGAAAGTAAGCTGTAGGATCTCTCGGAGAAACTAATACACATGGAGCAGCAAGGAGCCTTTCTTCTGGCCAGTCTCCACCTGGTTTTGTTGTTTCTGAAACAGGGCATTGCCCAACAAAAAGTTTTGGTGTGTTTCATTCTGTGGGTGTTTTGTTAGCTTCTTTGTTTAAACTTGGGCTTCTTGTCTGTAGATGCAGCTGACTGTTTAGAGCAGGCAGGGTAGTATTATCTTTTTGATATCTTTCCTCTTTATAGTGCTTCTTACCAGGCTTTTGTAGGATGGGACTGTTTGACCTAGTTTGGATAAAATGTAGTCGACTCGGGTTCTGTTTTCAGTAAAGTTACTGTAGTTCCCCTGAAAAAAAGGAAAATGCCTTTAAAGGTAGTGGAAATACACGTGATAGGAAAATTTTGAAGAGTAAAATGGGAGATTATTGCTCCCTGTGATGATAAAAAAATTAAGATTAGCGCTTTGATTGGTACACACATGTTCTGACCACAGAAATTTTTTTATACCTGCTGCATCTAATATTGTGTTTCCTATTTTTAAGAGTGCAGAGAGAGGTCTAAAAAATAGTAGAAATGAGAAGCAGTCTTAAAGTTGTAACATATCAAGTGCAGTTTCTACTGTTCTTTGTTACCTGTGCCTTGCACACACAAAACATTTAGGCTTACTGCTTTCTTCGAGCAATTACTTCAGTGTATTTGTAATGTTTAGGATGAATATGGCATAGAGTCTCATTTGTGTTAGTGAGACATGAGTAGCCTGGAGGAGAGGCATGGGGGTGTTGGTTGACCACAAGGTCAACATGACCCACCAATATACACTTGTATCCTGGAGATGAGAAGGCTCTGAAGAGACCTTGGAGCAGCTTCTGGTGCCTAAAGGGGCCTACAGGAAAGCCAGAGAGGGACTTTTGACAAGGACATGAGTAGTGGGACAAGGGGGAATGGCTTTAAACTGACAGAGGTATATTTAAATTAAATATAAGCAAGAAATTCTTCACTCTGAGAAAGGTGAGGCACTGGCACAAGTTGCCCAGAGAAGCTGTGGCTGCCCCATCCCTGAGAGTGTTCAAGGCCAGCTTGGATGGGACCTAGAACAACCTGGTATAGTGGAAGGTGTCCCTGTCTCCCTTGGGAGAGCTCAGTGTTAGGGACAGTAACTGCCTATGCAGAGCTTTGCGTATGAGAGGAAGGAGGAAGTGTTTTTCCTGGTACTCTATCATCCTGCATTGGTGCAATGGAAGGTCCATAAAAGTTTAGAGTATTTATTGGCTTGCCGACTTGATCTGCTAAGTTCTCACATTAAAAAGAGAGTCTTTTAAAACTTTTAATTCTAGAATTTTGAATTGATGTCTGAATGCATCTTGCTACAGTGGAATAGATGAACTCAAAGCTTCAGCTGAAGTTATTTGATGCTTATGGGTTGAGGAGGGGGAGATTGATGCAGTAAATCTATATACATTGTCCAGTCTTGACAGTCTTGTGATTGCTGAAGGAGGAGCATGTACACCGTATTTAATCTGGGCTACCAGTCCTGTATAACAAATCCTATTATTAGGTAGAGTGGTGCAGAGGTTTTGAAAATCTTGAAGGAATTCTTCTTGATGAGTACATCTCTAAATGTGCAAAACTCTGAACTTGTCTGTTTACCTTCATTCTTAACACTACTATCTTGATCTGTGTTGTGCTCAAGAAATTCAACTTTGCTTTATTATTACTGTCCGTTCTAACACTTTGGGTCATTAACTTATAGTTAAGCCAGTAGCATGTGGAAATCTACAGCCCCACAGGAAAGTTTTGTTCTTTACAAGATAGAAGTGTTGCTGGTTCATGAGACTCTTAAATTCCAGCAGTCTGATTTTCTCTGTAAACATGTCTCTCCTGAGTTGAGTCGTCTTGACACTAATGAACCTGCCTATGATTTATTTTGAGGTGGTTTTACAGTGGTGAGCTTTCCTATGATTATCCATTCTCAACTTTCTTCTTTTACAGAAGCTTCTGAAGTACGATTTGAGCCATTAGCAGTTAAAATATTTGTATCTTGCATATAATCTCAGTGTTGAGTATAAAGAATGCCTACTGCCAGTGTTCTAAGATTCTGAAAATTAAGCCGTCTAAATAGCAGTGGTGCTCTCTATCACTTAGTTCAAGAAATGCCTCTGTTCTGTGTTGCCTTTGAGATCTGATAATAGATCCTCTGAGACATGTAAATAATCTGTTAGGTTTTTTCTTCCGTGATGGCTCTTCTTTGGCACTTAAGCAACTTGTGGACAAAGAGAAGCTGTGCAACATTTGATGTTTGGAGTCATCCCAAGTGTTCTCTCCTGACATATTTTTAACCCTTTCTAAAGATATTTTGTTAGCATACCACTGCACTGGGTTGTATGCAGTGTGAAATCTGAAAAGCACCAGGTCTCATGAAACCTGGATGCTTTGCATCTAAACCTGTGCTGTCTGTGAATGCATCAGACATGGGTATTCAGCCGTGTAGATACATCAGTATTTCAGATTGCTCTCAAAGGTTCTATTTAGTAACATGTCTATCAACTGATATAAAGTTTATTTCTTTATCCTTCTCAGATGTGTGTACCAACCAACATTTCCCAGCTTTTTAGTCTCCAAGTATATTTTTTTTTTTTCCCCAGATCCATATTTGAGGAGAATCGAGGAAAATTGTCTCCTGGCTTTCTTGATGAAATAAACTTAGAAAGACCAATGGCACAACTTCTTGGTATACCTCAGATATTTCTCAGTCTTGTTCACTCTCCTGCTGTGTAGAAAACTGCTTTGCAGAACTTGGTTTCAGTTTCAGTTTTCTAGCTGTTAGAAGATGTTAGTTTGGTTTTGAACAACTAGCTTGAAAGAGCCAATGAGCTAGGTTTAGGCAAGATTCTCTCACTTGCTGTGTGTCCTCCTTGCTTCATATTCTTTGCCTTGTCTCCAAAATGTTCCAAACATATGAATAACAATTGTATGGAGTGAGGAACTTCTAGAGCACCTAGGAAGTGCACTTATAGAACAGTGCCTCTAGTTGGATTTGTATGAACAGAAAATTAGGTATGGTCTTGGCTTAAACATTCTTGTTCCCTATTCCAAAAATTCAGTGAAGTGAGTAAAATAGGATCTTCCCAAGAATGGTGAAATGAAATGTAGACCTTAAGAATAGTGGGGTGAAGTGTGCAAGAGGACTTGCATTACCTGGACTCAGAATGTTAAGAAAATGGTTGTGTAGGTGAGTCCTGAATTGAGGAAGCAGTCTGAAAGTCATTTCACAGCTTTCTCTGGTAGCAAATTCGGAGCCTTAGTCTTCAGCATCCCAGGTGAGAACATAAGGTTGTTACTTAGATCTGCAAGAAAAACTCTGTAGAAAAGCTATGCATAGAAGGTTAGATTTAAAAAAAAACCCATCTTAAAACTGTCAAAATCAATTAGGCTCATATTGGGAGAGACTGTTAAGTGTAACAGTTCTCAAAATTTCATGCACTGTGACCAGAATCTGCCTGTGGGCTCACTGGGTATTACATCTAGCATACAGCAAATGGTCCAAGTCTAAAAAGCAGGTTCACCTGCTTACAGCTTTTGCAATCCAGTGATAGTTTTGAAATTAAAAAATAGGAGGAAAAAGAACTCAAATGGCATATTGTATTGCTTAAAACTGTGCCTAAGTGTATCTTTGAGCTTAGTAAAAGTACCAAATTTAGTGTAAGGATTCTGTTTTGATAATGTCACAGTTCAGTGATAATGGGTCTTTTAAGTAAGTGATTTAAGAAGCACAGAGAGAAAGTCTGGGGGGGGGGAGGAATCAGTCAGGCTTCCTTTAACTCAAAGTAGCGACTGAGTACCAGTTCCATTCTATCCCACTGCATGGTCTCAGTGATTCCTAATCTAAGAATAGTTTAATAGTGTATGTGCTGGTCTTTTCAGCATGATGATGGTCAATATTGTGAAGACGATTCTGCAGTGCTTGTTTAACATAATTGGGTTTTTTTACCTGAACCCTGCACTATGTCTGCTCTGCGCCTCCGCGTTGCGTATTGTTCACGTAATAATTGTACCATGAGCAAAGATGTGAATTGCAGTACTACATCAGCTACTCCTAACTGATTTTATACTCTTCACCTCTTCCTGCCTAGCAGTTCACTGTGTGATGGAGACGGGTGCACACACGTACAGTTAACCACAGTGTAGTGTAATCTTGTGTTCTCTTGCAGATCATTGAGTATTTCTAAACTGAAATTTCTTTGCTCCACTTGCTTTCCACACCTCTCGAAGTGTTCAGCTGTCACCTGTAGGAGTATGACGATGGGTGGTAGAACAGAACTGCTTATCTGAAATTTTTTGCTTTCTGAAGATGGATATGTTTGATGCAATTCCCAGTGATTCCTGCCCACACACAAACACTGCTTTAATCGGTTGCTTTTAAAGTAAATTGGGATTCCTCAGTATTTTTCTAGTTTGCTAATAAACTAGCTTATTCTACTGTTTAGTTTAGGAAATGGGTAAAAATGCTAGAGAATTCAGGCCCAGCTGCAGGGTCTGAGGCTCAGTTACCAAATCTGAGGCATTCCCTCTAGCTTTGGACAGATAGTGGTGAGTCAGGAATGGGAACCTTGGAGAGAAGACTGTATTGACGAGGACAAGCATTACAGATAGGTAATCTTCTCTCTTCTTTTCTTATAGGTTTGGAAGAACATTATTCTCGGGCAGTGAACGTTCTGCACTTTTGAACAGTGCTACTTGAAGGAGTAAAAGGAATTGATAGTTGTCACTTCCTTCCAATTCTTTTTTTGTACTTGAACTTCTTCCTTGCTCTGGCTTTTCAACTGAGAAAGGCCATGAGCTCAGTAAGTATTTTAGTACTGTATGCAAACCTGGTTCTTGGAATGAGTTGTTGCTGGTAACCTCCAGAAATGCTTTGAAAGAGTTTGTAGTAAAAGCACAGGATCACAAGCCTATGAAAACCTCATGTAACTGAAATTTCTGTTATACTTCAGTATTTAACTCTAGAAGCTATCAGTAGGTCAGAAATGCTTAGAGTGTAGCAGAAACCAGGCACAACTGTGAACTAGTCTTTCTCTTTTACAAATGCTCACAAGATGTTTTGTCTTTGTGACCTAAGTGGTAAGAGGTCTGGGGTGATGTCTTTTCCTTGCTGCAGGGTGTTCAGGTAGGAGTGACCCATCCTGGCAGTCGATGCGTATGACAGCCTTTCTAGGGAGGGTTTTGTGTGTCCTTGTGCACTTTCATTGGTGCTTCAGAGATGAGGGTCACGTGGGAATGACTCCAATTCTCTGGCTTTGTTCTCTCTTAGGGTCAACGCAAGCGCCGTGGAGGAGCAGTTAATTCCAGGCAAATTCGGAAGCGAAACAGGCTAATGGCTTCTACAGCAGAAATGGCTTCAGAAGCAGAGCCAATAGAGCTTGAAGAAAGTGGTAAGCTTTCTTTTGCAGTTGATTAGATGCTAAAAAGCTTCTGGGGGCTTGGGGTCCCACTTGACCTGTTTTTCTGCCAGTTGCTAGGCCCCTTCTTGGTGGCAAAGGGAAACCTTCAGTTCTACGAAGTGTCTAGTGCCCATGGCAGGGGGCTGGAACTGGATGATTTTAAGGTCCTTTCAACCCTAACTGTTCTGTGATTCCATGGAATCTACAAACAACAAGCATACGGACAAGTGACTTGAGTTTGTTGCTGAGACGCAGTACATTCTCCACTCCTGATAGATGAGTTATGTAAGAAACATGCGCAAGTGCTGCTCAAACTCAGTTAGGGAACTCCCAACTTTTAGAGAGGTAATCAAGTCTTTGTTGTCATCAGTGGTGTCCCATTCCTCAAATGAAGACTTGTGGCATGGTACTATAAAATGATTAGATTCTATGGAATTCCTGTTTTATTCTGTGTGATCCACATTGTCCTACATTAGATGAATAATCTGTTGCTGCATACCTATCAATATCTGTTGTCATTAGTTGCACCTTGTCCCTCAAGGGAGAAGCAGCTTCTGGTCAAAAAGCCTAGAAAAAGTATCAGAAACTAAAAAGTCTCGTTGACTTCTTAAATGGAATTTTACTGTGTTCTGAAATCCTAGGAAAGATTAACATTAACTATTGGTCTCCTGGTTATTACATGGAGCTTTGCGATGCATTTGACTGAAAGTTTGGACGAGACATGAGAGAGGAACTTGTACAGCATGGTACTGTAGTTATTATATCCTATACTATTCATGTTTTCTACTGTGTGATAAACATTCTTCTGTGTGAGATGTTAGATAATCTGCCTTCTGCAAGCTGTTACTGCACAATAGAATTGTATGAGTTGTTCAGATACTGTTCCTCTTGCACTGCAACTTGCAGAAGACTGGTAGTAACACTGAGGGCTCATGAGGGCACAGTTTGACTGAAATCTTGAACATGTTTAGGAAGAGAAGAGGAATAGGGCAAGGTTGAATTATACCTCAGACTGTTATGAAGCAGCAGGCAGTCTTATTCCTCTGCGATCTCTGATATTGCTTTTAATGTTCTGTTTTTAAGCTGGTGAAGAAGTAGTAGACCTCACATGTGAATCTTCTGATCCTGTAGTTGTTGATCTCACTCACAATGATTCTGTTGTGGTAAGTAGTGAATGATGCTTACCTAAATCTTGTAGGCAGACTGGGTTTGTATTGTGCTTCCTGGCAGAATCAGAATTTAAGGACAAATTTTAAGGTCGAAGTTGACTTTGTCAGTGCATGAAAGCCACTTATTATAGGTTAACACAGAAGCTGCTCTGGAGGTGCACTTGGAAATACTGGAAGGGTAATCAAACACAGATTTTTGCTTCAGAACCTGGGCAGAACATACCAGTGATGGGTAATTTAACATAAGGAAATGCAATTTAAAGTTGAAGCTCTGATAGACAATCAAAGATATGGGCCAGTGATTTAAATAAAAAGCTAAGGAGATAAGTCTGTGGCTTTACAAACATGAAGTGTTTAGCTGCAGCGTTAGTTTAAGTTTCTCTTTGTCACACGTATGCCAACTGCAACTGTAGGTTACTGTGCTGCAAACCAGTTTATTACTCCAAGAAGGTTTAAAGAAAAGCCACTTCCTTTCTTATTTCTGTGTTTAAAGCTAGAATACATTTGATCCAGTCCACAGTGCAGTTTATAACTTCAGGTTTGGGATGCCACTACTGCTTTGCAAACCAGAAGCAAGCAGCAGGAATCACATGGAGGGGTATCTGCTGCTGGAATTTTTCCGGAGCCTTTGCAAAGTAAAGGCCTCAAACTTTACAACATAATCCTCATCAAAATGGTCAATGGGTTTGGGTTTTTCTCTTCAGCAGCTGTTAATCTAATATGAACTATTTGTGGATAGCATGCCTGGATTGGCCTTTTGGGGGTGGGGGGACAGAAGAGGGAAAGAGTCTTCTCCAGTCTAAATCCAATTAGGGGATACTGAAACTGGGGAGCAGGGAGGAGGGCTCTGGTGCTTCATAAAGTGCCTCCTTTTTTGTCTCCTTATGGCACTGTGTGCAGAAGCACCCTCTGTTTTCAGAGCAGCAGCTAATGTACTACTACCATTAATATTCTTCATCAAAATGAGGGAGTGATATCCTACCATTCTTAGCTTTTGTTGTCATTGCATAGCCTAGCTGGTGTTTATATATAGTAGTAGGAGTGCACACCAAAATCTAATTGTGTTCTTTTCTCTTCCTTCCCGTATCTTTTGATGCAAGATTGTTGAAGGTGAGTTGACATTGTTCTAAAGTCAATTTTTGTGTGTGTTTTCCAATGAACTTGAGCAGCATGGATTGAAACTGTCTTTTCCAAAAGGCAAGAGACAGTGCTAAATCATCATGTGAATGGATCCAGTCTGTGCTTAATAGTCACTGACAAAGCTTGTAGAGAGTATCTGAAATAAAATCCATCAAGGCTACTGAAAATATGTTTTGTTGTTTTCCAGGTACAGAAGTTCTTTAAGGCCAGGGCTGATAATATTCTGAATCATCACTGGCATATTTGCTTTGAATAAGAAAATGTTGAAAGTTTTTCTTAGCTTTTATTGTGAAGAAGGAAGTTAAGAAGGAAGTTACTGATGGTCGTAGTACTTAACTTCATTATCTGGTGTAACATGCCTCAAATTTATTAAGAAGTGTAGTTTTGGGGGGTTTTTGGTTTGGTTCTTTTTTTTTTGCTAATTTAGGTGTTACAATAGTTACAGGTGTAAATAAGTATCCTTTACACTTGAATACTTGTGCAGGAAGGAACTTGTAATTTTATGGCAAATTGTGTAATTTTGATTGCTTAGTTGGTGCTTAATTATTTTTACATGTAACTGGAGTCACAGAAATAATTATTACATATGGTTTCTGACTGCTAAAAAGTAAAGCAGTTCTTTATCCTTTGGATGTTCCAGACCAGGGAATAAAAAAAACACCTTACCTTCTTTTATCTTGGGCAGTATAATTCCATTATCAAGTTTTCTTGACAAAGGAGGAAGATGATGAAAAAACGCTGCTTAATACATTATTCTAATTTCCAAGTACTGATCTAAAAAAGATTAATTTTACAGAAACTGCCTTTATTTATAGAGCTTTGGCAAAGAGAGGAACAGTTTATAATCATACCTGGATAGAGCAGTGAGGAGCCACAGAAGCTCTATAACTTGAATATTTAGATGCAGGCATCTCTCCCATATCTTCTGAAGCTTTCTGAACCAGGCATGCTTGTGTTTCACCAGGCCTTTTTGTTGTATATGTGCTCCTGTGCCATGCAACGTGGAGGCTTAACTTCAGTCTTCTCTGAATTTCTCAACATAGTATAGTAGCATTCTCTGTTAGTAAGAAAGAAGAGAGGGAGCTTCCCTTTATGGGGGAGATCTCTTCACAGGTAGTGTAACTGAATGAAACTTATGACACCAAGTATCATGGTCATGGTTCAGCAGTTTGTGAATAGAGCAAATTTTTTATGTTGATATGCAGCAGAATATTTACAATGTTCGGAGGTGTTCCACCTTAGTATTTAGGAAACTAGTAAGTTTTTCAGCCAGCTGAGTATGGTCAATTTAAAATGTGAACCGTTACAGACTGGTTTTAATAATGCATTTCGTGTATAGCTCCAGGGCTATGTATTTTATGCTGTGTCTAACTTAATAAAATTAAATTACAGAGAATCAAGGACAAAGGAGAAATCTGAGACTCAGAAGCCAGCGACAGTCAGACAGCTGTGTATTAAGTAGCGATGATGAAGATGAAACAAGAGACAATGATGTGTATGTGACACATAAACTGTCTCGAGAATTGAGGCCACTGGAAGATGAAACTGCAAGTTCAAAGTATGTATGCTTTATGACCTACCCAAACATGGAATTTTGCTTTTTTTTATGCATCCAGGACTAAGTTACATTGCTGTTGCCTGGCTTACCTTGGAAGTCTTGCCTTATTCCAGTTAATTCCTTCTGTCAGTGAGGAAACTTTTTTTTTTTTTTCTCATCACATATTGCATGGTGACCAAATGATGCCATTTGCACTTCAGGATAAAAAGCCAGCCTGAGATAGATGGCAACTTTGCATACAACCTTAAAGATGAGTGTGGGGATATAGCAGGGAAGGGGTTGGTCATAAGCCATGGCTCATAATGTATTGCATTTACTTTTCATGCAAAGCGCTAGTAGTGATGCTAGATATAGAAATATTTTCGTTGGTGTTGATGAGGCTTGTTATCATGAAACCATTAGGAAGCAGCATGGCAAATTTCAGTAAAAACTATTATTCACTTTTTTTTTTTTTTACACACTCTGACAGTTAACTGCCTTTTTCTCTCAGGGCAGTAGCCATTCTTCGAAGGTATAATTGCAAGGCAGTTGTGGACATAATGCTGTTACAGGCACGTTTTGTTCTGTCTCATGTATGTCATGATGCTCTGATACGTTTGTATGTAAGGTGGAGATCTCACTGTTAAGGATAGCAGCCATAAGAAGGACACTATTCAACAGTAAACTGCCATAGGAGCACTGCATTATGTTCAGAAGGATGCATGTATTGGGCTAATTAAATGAAATCAGGTGACCATTTGACTAGGGAATATGAAGAACATGAAAACTGTGATCCAGACATGGCCTTTACTTTTTCAACTGTTAGGGGAGGGAATAAAGATTTTAATAAACTAGTGTACTTAGAGCTTTTACTGACAGGCAATGAAGGAGAGAAATTGGGTATGAAAATTTTTGATGTCAGGCATTTCATGTATGTAAGAGTACATGAATTAATGAACAACTGAACAAATTCATAAATGTCATAAAACATAGTGCATTGTACTGGTGCATTTATAAATTTTTAAGTCAGAGATTATTAAAATAATGATGTGTATGTGACTGGTAGCTTAGTTTTCTAAAGCATAAATAGGGATCTACCGTAGAAGCAGGTATTTTTCCAAGCTTTTGGGTTCTGCTTTATTAACACGTGAAAAATTCAAACCTAAAATGTAATTACATTACTTACAATAGAAAAAAAACCAAAACCTAACACAGGGTTTTGTTCTGTTTGTTAATTCAAGTAATCTTACATACATGAAATGCTTGTAAGATCTGAAAGACAATGCAGAATATCTGAATATATGCTTCTGTCGTGGTTTAACCAATGCCAGACAGCTTGTGCACTTACTCCCCCCTCCTTCTTGCCCTCCCCCTACTCCCAGAGGGACGGAGAGCAGAATCAGAAATAATGCAAGTCCCACGGGTTGAGATAAGAACAGTTTAGTAACTAAGGTATAACACAAATCACTACTGCTACCACCAATAATAGTAATGATAAAGGAAATAACAAGGGAAGAGAATACAACACCCCATCACCAGGCGACCGATAACTTGCCCCCCCAGCCCGATCAAGCACCGACCGATACCTCCTCCAACCCTGCCGTCCACCTCACCCTTCCGGGTCCCTCTCAGTTACATCCTGGGCATGACGTGCTGTGGTATGGAATACTTCTTTGGTCCGTTTGGGTCAGGTGTCCTGTCTCTGCTTCCTCCCGGCTTCCCCTCCTCCCTGGCAGAGCATGAGGCTCACAAAGGCCTTGGCCATACCAAAACATCATTTTTATCAGCTTTGTTCCCAGCCCGGAAGTCAAAACACAGCACTGCACCAGCTACCAAGAAAGAGAAAAATGACTGCCACTGCTAAACCCAGGACAGCTTCCTATAATGACAGATTTGATAAGGAAGCAATTCTCGGAATGAATGCTTTCCAAAGGACAGGTAGATGCTTTTGTCAGAAAACTCTTTATTTCTGAGCTGTTGAAGATCAGTGCTGCCACCCGTGTGCTCTGCTGTACTACAGACTGCTGTTCCTTGTAAGGGTAGAGCAGGCAGACTGTCTGCATTGTCCTCCTCAGGAGAAGCAAGACCCAGTTTCCTTTAGGGAGGGGGCACCCTAACTGCTTATTCCATGCAACAAATGGAGAGAGTGAAAGATGTGCAGGGACCTTCAGATGGTATGCACCATGGCCGGTCTGTGCAGTCGGGTGATGACAAGGCATTTTAGGTAGCAGTGACCCTCAATGCACGGTGACATTAACGGACATGTGTTCTTTCTGCTTTTGTTCTCTCTACCACAAGGCCGTCTGGTACCGTTAGCTGTCCAATTTGCATGGATTTCTACTCAGAGGTAAGGATCCGCATCTTGCCACGGCTTCTTTTTTGTCAGAGGGAGACCAGGGTGCCTGGTGAGCTGAGCATCTGTGCTGGGTGCTGTGGGATGCTGCTGGGTGCTGCAGACAGCTGGCTTGAGGTGCAGACCTCGCTGGGAAGGTCAGAGTGGCTTGGAAGTCAAAGTCATTTCTTGGTGGTGAGCGTAGTGCCAGAAACACTTCCCCAGGTGGCACTGAAAGACCTTTGGGTTCCTTTAATCAGCCATGTACTGATTCCAGGCACCCAAGTCCTCTCTGCCTGGTACCAATAGAGCAGCAAAGCAGAATTCTTCACACCAAATTCCTCTGGTGCTTTCTTTTCTTCCAGATTGTGCAAAGCGGACGACTGATTGTGTCAACTAAATGTGGCCATGTCTTCTGCAGTCAGTGTCTCCGTGATTCCCTAAGGAATGCCAACTCTTGCCCAACCTGCAGGAAGAAACTCACTCACAGACAATATCATCCCATTTATATATGAGTACTTATTTTTCTCAGGACAGACTCCACTGGGATGTTGAGGAATATGTCATGGGTTCAGAGTTCTGAAGAATTAAAGAGCGGCAGGTTCTGCAAATCCAAACTGTTTTTCTTTGAGAATAAATTGTACATGTATAGACAGCTTTTTTTATTGTCCAGGCTACGTCTTGTAATGTCCCTGGTTATAATGTTAAATTTAGGACTGGCTTTAAATTAGACCAGCAGCCTATATCAGAAAGGAAGCAACTAATGCATTTCTTTCCCCTTTTTGCGTTACTAAGAGAGGTCTGAATGTTTTATTGTTTTTTCCTGTTAAAATTATTCCCACCCTTGCATACAGCTATGGAAGAGTTACCGTTCAAAATACAGCCAGGCAGTTTGCCAGTTCCTTACGCTTTTTGCTTTTATCCTACCAGAAGCTCGTCGCTATATTGCTTTCTGCTATTCCATCCTTACCTGAGTAGAGGTCTCTGTTAAACAGACAAGGGTAATGCAATAAAATCACCTGTTAATCAGCAGTCAGGTGTTTTAAGCAGAAGGCTTGAACGCATGGATGTCCTTATAAACTCCATGAGATCTAATGTGAGTAGACAAATTGCAGCATGGGCAATGTGAAAATACTACTTGGGGTGTTTTAACTTGAAACAGTTCCCATAGTGGAATCTCAACGCTAAATTTCTCTACTAACGTGATGATGTGGTCCCTTGAGTTTATTGCTATTCTATAGCACTCTCTCCTGGTAACTGAGGAGAACGTAGACGTCTCTTGGCTTGCTAGTGACGCATAAGAAGCAAATGTATGTCTGCTGCCCTCTTGTCAGCTAAATCCCAAAGTACCCACAGATCTTGTACCATATGAAGTGTCCCCAGCACAATGCTTCAAGTTCAGTGCGATTGCTTGGCTGTTCTCTTTAGTTGTTACAGTGACACCTGATGGTTTTAGCCTTTAGAAAAGGACTCGGAGACATGTTCCTGGAGAGAGCATTCTTCTCTTGAAGCAAGGCAGGAACACACAGGTTTATGCATAGTCATCCAGACAGCTGGTTTAGCTTTTTTCCCCATAGGCCTGAGTTAGAAATGCCTTCTTTAAACCTGTTACAGGTAAAAGCTGCAGGCTGGGATGTGGAATCCCAGAAAGACTGATATAAACAGAGGCTGATACAAAGGAATCATTCTATGTAGGTGAGATGACTAGAATCGGTATTCTGTGATCCACGTGTCCATGTATGAGAAGATCCAAAATTAAGCTCAGGCACCTTTTGGCAGCTGGTTGTGCGAGACAACCAGGATTAGCACCATTCTGCACTCTGGGACAGCACAGTTGTAGGATGTGTTTTGGTAACGCTAGTTATCTTCAGTGCCTCAGCTCGCCTGTATGAGGGATCTGTGGGAAGCCTTCAATGAAAGCAGCTCTTCTAATGAGCTGTCTCAAGTTGTGTTTTAAGATAGCAACTCACAAGTAGAGTGTTTTGGGTTTTTATGAGGACGTTTAGAGAACTTTCTGGATGTAGTCATGCAGACAGAACTTTGTTCCGTGATAGCTCGCTTAAGAACTGCAATACCTTCCCCACCCTGGTTTGGAGTCTCTTTGGCTCAATGTCGTTATCTGGAGTATGCAGTTTCAGCATTGTGGCAGTCTGGGAATTGCTTAAGTTACACACCTTTTAATTACTGTGTGCTCCCCAAGCAAGGACTGGTGGAGTCCTGCGATAGTGCGATGGCTCCAAGGTGCTGGTGCTTGAGTCACTAGAAGCAGAAGTTTAAGTCTCGGCCCATGGAAAAAGACTAAATTGTGTTACAGGCTTTCTTTTGGAGGGTGGGAAGGGAGAGAAGAATCCTCACTAGGTTGGAGTTCCAGTGAAGTTTCACACTGTCAAGAAATTACAGGGAATATAAAGATTTTTTTTCATTATGGAAATGTATCTCTTCTTGTTGTATATAGTTTGTTTTTCCTGTATTTAATGGTATTCATGTCTGTCTGTCCCATGTCCATTGGACTACCGGTAGGCAAAGAGTTCTTTCACCAGGTGGAAATAAAACTATTGATTTGATGAACTGGAAGTTTTGGTTCTTTTAATCTCAGTGTGTTGTGATGAAGGGTGGGTGGAAATCCTACTTCTGCAAACTTCTGAGTTACTTTCTCTGGCCTGTCTGGTATGGGGAAGGGGAGGGAGGTGCTGCCTGAGCACGTGCGTGATGATAGTTTCCATATGAAATCCTCGAGGAGCTCTGCTGGAAATGTAACTTCTGTAAGTGGTCCTTGAGAGAGGGGGTTGTGGTATACCTGAGCAGCTGCTGTGTGAGTAAATGTACTGTTCTGACTGAGGGCAGTGCTAATTGAGCTCCTTGAGTGTCCATGTTTTCTAGTGATCCCTGGTCAGAGCAGACCAAAACCTTTCTGCAGCTTCTGGTTGCACTGTTGTTGGTCCCTGCCCTTGTGCCCTCCTTGGGGCTCTTCTGGGAAGAAGCTCTACTTTGTAAAGCCAAGAGGCTACCTGTTCCGCAGTTTTTCAACAGGTGCGTGCAAAGAGAACTCCAGAGAACCCGCGCCGTTGGACACGGATTGTTACGTAATGTTACGGTTGCCAGGGCACAGAGTCCTGTGATGCTGAGGATGCAGGACGCTGAGTACCAGTTCCCGGCTTTCTCTGCTAGGGGGCAGACTTGTACCTGAGCCTTTTCTTTTGCTGGGTTTTTGACGAGGAAGGACCATGAGCTCAGTAAGTATTTTACTGCTCAGTGCAACCCTGGCTCTTAAGAGTTGCTTCTGGTAACCTCCAGAAATGCTTTGAGACAGTTTGTAGGGAAGACACAGAAACATAAGCGTATGAAAATGACTCCTAAGGAAAATGCTGTGGCTCTGTTCTATCTCAGGGTCAGCGCAAGCGCCGTGGAGGAGCACTTGATTCCAGGCAGCCTCAGAAACGAATGAGGCCAACAGCTTCCACCTCAGCTAGGGCTGCAGAAGCAGAGCTGATAGAGCTTAGTGGTAAGCTTTCTTTTGCACTTGGTCAGAACTTAAACTGCTTCTGGAGACTTGGGGTCCCACTTGACGGCTTTTACCAAGTGTCTAATGTGGGATCTAGAAACAAGCAGCGTACGGACAACTGACTGAGCTGGGTCCTGGGGCACGATGCGTTCCCTGCTCGTGCCAGATAAGTTGTGTAGGAAAGGTGCTCAAGTGCTGCTCAAGTGCCTGAGGGTTGGGTCTGAAGAGCTGGGAGTCACTGCAGCCGCCCCTACAGAGAGTGGCAAACTAAGCTGGGGCAGTGCCAAGCTTTAGGGATTCAATCAAGACCTTGTCATTAGCGGTACCCCATCAATCAAGGGAATATTTAAGGCAAGCTACTGTGAATCCTGTCGGACTCCTGGTTTATTCTGTGTGATCCACCTTGTCCCACATTAGATGAATAATCTGTTGCTGTGTGCGTACTGCTAAGTGTTGTCACATAGGAGAAGTGAATGAGGAGCTCAGCCGATCTTCCCCTGGTATTACAACTTAATCTTTTGGGCTCGTGTTTTCCAATGAACTTGAGCAGCATAGATTAAAAGTGCCTTATCAAAGAGGGATTGGTGACTGGATCCAATCACTAAGGGGATTGGGGACTGCTTAGGGATCTGGCAACTGGATCCGATCTGTGCTTGATAGTCACTCTCAGAGCTTGTAGAGACCATCCGAAAGCAAAGCTGCACAAAGTCTATTTTCGTTTTCCTCACACACAAGTTCTGCAGACACAAAGTTGATATTAATTTAATCATCATCTTTACCGCTGGAATATCTGAATATGAAATATTCTGGAAGATTACTTTTACCATGCATTGCAGTGAGGAAAATAAAGTAGTTACAAACTTGACAGAATCCTGCATTTAAAGAATGTTCCCCAGCTATACGTGTTACTACTCTTTCTAAGTGAGGAGAATTCTGTCCCTCCACCACTGCGACTTGCAGAAGTGGCAGTCAATTGTATTCGTCTGCAGTCTCAGATGTGTTTCTATTTGCAAATACAGAAGTTCTGTGACCCCGAAGTTGTTGATAATTTGATCATTAATTTTACCACTGGAATATCTGCTTGGAATATGAAATACTCCTCAAGATTACTTTTTATCTCACATAAGAGAAATAAAGAAAAAGGTACAGACTCTTAAGAATCCCATATTCCAAGGATAGTTCCAGGGCTTTATATTTATACAATATCTTACCTACAAAAACTCTGTCTTTCTGGCATTGCACCATGCCAAAGACAATTCTATAGTGGTAGGATATTTTATTCCTCTGTAATCTCTGATTTTGATCCTCGCATTCTGTTTTTAAACTCCTGCAGAAGTGAGAAGTCTCTCAAGTGAATCTTGGATTCCTCACGATGCTGATCTCAGTCTGGATGACTCTGATGATGTAAGGAGCGAATGGCTAACTTCCCTAAAGCTTGCATTCAAATTAGTTTTCTGTTGTGCTTCCTGAGGGAATGTGTTGTTAAGGACAGATTGTACATTCAAAGTTGAGTTGTCAGTGCTCCGCTTTAAGCTGTCCAGAAGTGATCGTTTGTCTTTACACAGAGTAGACATGATGATCAATGCATTTCAAGTACAACATTCCTAAGGATGTAGACCCCCTTTTTCATTCCCTGGTACATATAGGGTCAGATGACTACTCCTAGAAGCCCCTAAAAAATCCATTTTTTTTTTTTAATGCTCTTTCTGAAGCTTGAGTAGTATTTGATCCATTTGATACTGCAGTTGATCACATCACCTTTATGATGGCACTGCTAGCTTGCACAGCAGAAGCAAGCAGCAGAAATCACATGCGGAGGTACCAGCTCCAGGGCTTCTTCCTGAGCCTTTGAAAAGGAAAGGCCTCAAACTTGACACAATAATCTGCTTTGTACGTGGTTTAGTACCACCAGGCACTATAGAGGGCTTGGGGTTGTGGGTTTTTTCTTCTTTAGCAGCTGTTAGTCTGATAGGGAGTGTTTCTGGATATCACACCTGAATTGGCCTGTTTGAGGCAGAGATGGGGAAAGAATCTCTTCCAGCCTAAATCCAATTAGTTGGTACGGAGGCTGGGGAGGTGGGAAGATGCTGTTCTCGTGGATCATAAGCTGCCTGC